AAAAAAAAAAGATTAGATTCAAAAGGCTGTCAAAAGGCTATAAAAGTTTCTAAATGCTTTTTCTCAATTTCTGTGCTAATCCTCTAGAGGACCAGATAACAGTGTGGAGACCGAAAAAGCCGGGATGCAGGCTGCACTTCGAACTGCACATCTATTATATTCTACCAGGGTTATCTATCTACCTGGCTTCCTCCCTAGAATGTAAGGCCCGCCTATGTCTGGTTCACTACTGAAAGCTCTGGCTCAGTGCCCAGTGCACGCTTGTCGACTCTGTGGGCTGAAGGAATGTTTACCTAATGTCTCTGACCTCAGTTGCTGAGAGAGGCTACTCACCATTTGGAACCAGAAGGAGGCTTTTCACAATGCTTCTGAGGGGGCCAAGGCTAATCTGATTGGTGGTGGCAAACTCAGAGAGCTGAGCCAGAAACCTTTCCACCTGCAGAGAGGGAACAGCACAAACCAGGCCTTCACTTTTTAAGCATCTCAGGACTTCAGGCTCACACGGGGGAACTCTTCTTATCACAAAATACTTTACCTCTTTTGGCTCAGTGAGGAAGTGAAAAAGCACTTCTGTCAGGGCTGAGAACTGCTGTGAAGAAAATAACACAGAACATCCGTAAAACTCTACTCCTTGTCAGTGTTCCTATATCCCATCCAACCATAGACCTTTAAGAGAGCAAAGGATGTCACACAGGTGTTCATACCTATTTTGACCATCTTAGAGTTACAAATATTCACAATACCCACCACCAGTGTCAATATGTGTCACTATATTGTCTGAAAAACTTGGATATTTAATGGGATACTTGGGAGATATATAGAGGGTGCCAAAAAACAATGTATACACATTTTAAGAAAGGAAAACTGCATTAAAATCATAATACTCAATATATACCGATAACAAGAGATGAATACAAGTCACATTCGACTTCTGCAGTTACAAGGTGCTCAAAGTGGTTACCAGACACTTCTGATTACGGCAAACTACTGCTTGAGCAACGTTGACCCAAGTGTCCACTTGTATACATTTTTTTTTGGCATCCCCGGTTGTAGTAAAGTTTAATACTTTATTATACATTGTATTAGGACAGTCTCTTATTCTTTCATGTATGTAAATCTTCTCTTTATTGGTATTGTATTGTTATGGACTGGATGTTTGTGTCTCCCAAAATTCATATGTTGAATTTATTACTGTATTTGGTGATAGAGCCTATGAGGAAGTAACAAAGGTTAAATGAAGTCATAAAGGTGGCACCCTAATCCCATAGGACTGGTGCTCTTGGAAGAGACTCCACCAGAGTTCTCGCTCTCTGAGACACACGTCATGTGAGGACACGTGAGAAGGCAGTCATCTGCAAGCCAGGAAGAGAGCTCTCACCAGGAACTATCATAAATCTGTTGGCATCTTAATCTGGATTTACCAGCCTCCAGAACCATGAGAAACAAATTTCTGTTGTTAAAGCCACCCAATCTGTGGTGCTTTGTTTTGGCAGCCCAAGCAGATTGAGACATATATCATGACTTTCCCATGTTCCCTCCCAATGGGTAGTGTGTGGCACAGTGGGGAGAGCCAGAACACAAGGGCTTAAAAGACCCAGATGTGAACAGTGTTCACCCAAGTGACCTTGGGGAAGTCACTTTGCCTCTGTGTCTCAGTCCCCATAGGGAAAACAAAAGTAATAATAACACATAGCATCCAGAACATACTAAAGGTGGGATATGCAAAACCTCTAGCACAGTGCCAGGCTAGAGGCTAAATAAATAGTAGCAATTATTATCATAGCCATAGAGTCACTGTATCATTTGATCCACCTTCCTGAAGCAACGCATTAAAAAAAAATTACATGCAGATACTTCAGCTCAAAGTCCCCAAAGTTATACATGTAATATGATTGTCAAATGTACCCGCCCCTTTTGCTATGACCCACTAAACTCCACACAACTCCCCGGCACAGCTCTGTATTCTTTTATTCTAAAATGCATTGTTTGAAAACTAGTCTTTGAAAATATACAACTAATACAAGTGCAAGGTTTTGAAAAGACGCAACTAGCATAAAAGATTATAAAATAAAATCTCTCTCTCCCCCTGCCCCCCACCTCAGTCCCCTCCCCCCACAGGTATTTATTGCTAACACCTCTGCTGCTTTCCCATCATTTTATCTACATTTAATTTCTTTGAAACACAAATGGGATTATACTGAACCCACTTCCTGCACCTTGCCTTTTTAAACTCAATTTGCTAACAGAGATCAATCAAGAGAGCAGATATAAGTCACAACTGCATGGCATGCGACCTTGTATAGTTAGTGTAATGTATCCTCCTAGAGATGAACATTGGTGTGCATTTTGTTGGTATTACTATAAACAATGCTACAATGAATATCCTCCCACATAGTTCTTCGTGACTATAAGATAAATTCTTAAAATGTATCCTAGGTCAAAGAATATATGCATTTTAAATTCTGAGAAAATGTTGCAAAGAAGTTCCAGTGGATTTACACTCCCACTAAGCCAATGGCTTAGAAGTGTCTGCCTTCTCAAAACTTCACCAATATTACCTGGAAACATTTTAACCAATGCTGACCCAGGGGTTGTCTTTCTGCAGTATTTATATTAGGTATTAGCCTTGCTAACTGCTGATTCTATATAGTAAAAACCAGAACAGTCAGGACTGGCTTGAGAATGTGTCCTCAAACTATTTGTGAGTTTTTATGTCTTTACCTTTTGTTTGTTTGTTTGTTTTGTGAATCTGTAGAACTGTAAGAGCTTTGGCCAACTGCATTTCCTATGCCACCTGAGGCCTTTAAAATAATGGGGCGGCTAAGAAGCCCTCCAACTGCTTTTGCATTTCCAGGCCCCAGCTTTGCATTCAGGCTTAACCTCCTTGTGGAGCTCTCATCCCCCACCTCTCCTCTTAAGAAGGGCCTCAAGCTAATCTGGTCAGTCGTTTGTTACAGACCCCCATCCCTATCTCTACTTTCCCAAATCCTCTTTGTCCTTCAAAGCCCAGGCCAAGATACTAGGACACTCCCATCAAGAAAGGGAGCTACTCAGATTCTTAACTTCTGAGGCGCCTTCTTGGAACCTCACCTGGGGGCACTTAGAATTTTCAATCTTGATAATGAACAGGAACAAGTTTTAGCAGAGAAGTTTCCTTGTATGGCTTTGTATGGTCACAGCACCTCAATTATTGTTAAGGGCACAGTAAGTATTTGTTGACTAGATCTTCGCTGAACACTTTCCCCCATTCTTTGCCTTTATACTTACATAGCTGTCTCACCTGCCCCACTATTTGTGAAATCAAAATCTGAACTATTCTTACCAGTAAACGTATGAAAAGATGCTCAAGGTCATTCCAGGCTAGAGAAATGCAAATCAGTAAAACAAGGAGATACCATTTTTCCATTTATCAGATCTTCAAAAATAAAAGTATGATGACATCAGTGCTCGTGAAAGTACAAGGAAACAGGTATGCTCACACACTGCTGATGAGAGGGTAGACTAGGGTGAAATTTCTGGAGGGCAATTTGGCAATCTGTATCTAATTTTTAAATGATCACACCCCTTGACCTAGTAATTCCATTTCAAGGATACCCCTCAGATGTGTTCAAAAAGGTAAACCCAGGCACATTTACACAAAACAGTTCATTGACAGCACTGTTCATAAAAAACAAACAAACAAACAAAAACTGAAAGCAACTTAGGAATCTATTAATAGGGGAGTGGTTAAATTATGGTAGATCCATTTATGTAAAAAAGATTTTAGGGGTGGCCGGTTAGTTCAGGTGGTTGGAGCACAGGCTCATAACGCCAGGGTTGCCAGTTCGATTCCCATATGGGCCCAAGAAGCTGTGCACGCCCTCCACAACTAGATTGAAGACAACTACTTGACTTGGAGCTGATGGGTCCTGGAAAAACACACTGTTCCCCAATAAAAATAAATAAATGAAAAATTTAAAAGCCTTTAAAAAAAAAAGATTTTAAAGGATACCTATATATGATGGCAGATGCAGACTTTTTTTTCCATAGATACATAAGAAACTATTAAAATGATGATTTTGGGGGCCAAAAGAAATAGGTGTTTTAATTTTATACCTTTGGATACTGTTTGAATTTTCTAATGTGTGTGTGTTGCTTTCATTTATAGTTAGGTGAGAGGACTGTAGACCATTTTTTTTTTTTACATTTTTCTGAATTTCCTCTCTCATAACCATTCTAAAAGTGATTCTTTTTTAATCCCACCTATTTTCAAGGCTCCACATTAACTAGGACATCAGAGAGCACATGCAGATACACTTAATACTGTATTTTGTTTCCATTTTCTGATCTGCCCTAGCAGATCGTTAACTTCCCTAGCACAATAGGCCATGCCCATTAAGACTTTGTAAATGTTACTGGATTTCGTGGCTAGTTGGTGTATAGTAGGCATTCAGATAAATATCCACTGAATGAGCAATAATACAATGATTATTTTTCTCTGTGAGGCATGGGCCTAAGGCTTCAAAATAAATTCAGCTAATAAAGTGGGTACTTGGAGAAGTTTGATCACCAAGCAAAAGGGGAGAAAATGGTCCAAAGAATTCTGGTAAGTTGCTTATCAGGAAAAAGCTTTCTGTATTAAAAACAAGGGTAAAAGTTTAGAGTATATTTCAAGGTTAGAAAATGAGTCAAGCTCTGATCTCAAAGGAAGTGGTTTATATTTTCCATGACTTCCAAGTTGGTGGTAACCTTAAGGATCATACAATCCTAGCTTAAAGGTTTTTTATTATTATTATTATTATTATTATTATTATAGGCACACAATATTATATTAGTTCCAGGTATATGCTTAAAGTTTTTTGCAGTAATATCTTCTTTATTCTTTAAATGGAAGTCTTCCAGAAAACACCAACACACAAAGAAGCAAAAGCTAAACTACCTGGTTCAGGAGATTATCCACAAAGCTCCACTCTAGTGTGTTTAATTCCCTAGGATCTGAAGTCAGACAGACATCTGGTCCTGAATTCCTGGCTCCACCACTTTCAGGCTGTCTGGCTTTAAATAGGTCTATTTATTTCCCTGAACCATTTTTCTTATCTGTAAAATGGGAATAAATAGCACTTAACTTTTAGGGTTGTTACTTATACAGCAAGCACCTAAAACAACGCCTGGCATATGGTGCATACTCAATAAATGACAGCCATTTTTATTTAACCAGCTATTTTTATTTAAAATGCGGATAACAGTCCCTACCTTGTAGAGGGGTTGCAAGGACTCAATGAGTTAATATACATAAAAGCACTTAGAACTGTGCTGTACGGTACAGTGGCCACTAGCCACATGTAACTATTGAGCACTTGAAAAGGGCTAGTCGAATTTGAGATATGCTATAAATGTAAAATATATACCAGAATCAGAAAAGTTAGTGCCGAAAGTAAAATATCTCATTGATATTTTTATATGAATTGCAAGTTGAAACAATATGTTGATACAGTGGATTAAAGAAAATGTAAAAATTAATTTCTTGTTTCTTTTTAATTTTTACATATGGTTGCTAGAAAAATGTAAAATTAGACATTGTGGCTTGCAATTTATTTCTATTGGACACAGCAGCCTGAGAACGTGACAGGCATTGTACTATAATTACTGTCACCTTTACTTTATGAGAAAACAGTAAGTTGTGGGGGATGTTTACTGTTTTAAGTTGTGGGAGATGAAAGAAAAGGCCCCCACCTCCTGGGAAATGACAACCAGGGGGAAAGGAAATGCATCTTTGCAGTGGTGGTGAGAAGTGTCACTTAAACCTATTTATTTTGCCTGCTTTGGCGACATGAAAGGGGCATCCCAACCAACCAGCACAGGAGCAGGAAGCCTTTAAGGTTGACTAGCTGACGCCCGTGGCCTGAAATGGGACAAACCGCCTTTGTCTGCTCCACTACCATCAAAGCTAGGCCCTACGCTGTGCAGAGTATACACGGTTTCTTTCTTTGGGGACTACCCGGTATTTTCCTAAAGGGGAGGGTGGATGTCATCACTAGCATCGCCCCAGACCCTGCCCTCAGGGTCAGAGCCCCTCTCTGGCCTGGCTATTACCGACTCCCACATTACCTGCCCCCACCCCAGAGTCCCCTCGGTCCCCTGGGGACCCTAAGACCCTCCTCAGTCTCCCCAAGCCCCTGTGGCCCCCATACTACGTCTCAGACCCTCCCTGGCCCCCCAAACTCCCTTCATCCTCGTTAAGATTCCCCTCTGTCCCTTTTCTGAGACCCTCAGGCTCTGCTCGCTCCCGGAAGTCCCCCCAGCCCCACCTCTGGATCCCCAAAACCCCGAGACCCCTCAGCTTGCCTTTAGGCTTCCCGACATACCTGCCCCCCCCCAAATTCTCCTCAGACCCCAATTCCCATCTGCTCCTCCCTGAATCCCCCTAACGCCACAATGCACACGGGATGCTGCTCGGTCTGGTCCCCACAGGCGGCCCCCGGCCTAACCCCCCAGGACCCGCCTCAGCCCTTCCGGCACCACCTCGGGCGCTGGCTCCGCAGCCTCTGAGCCCACCTGTGCGCCCAGCTGGTTCAGCTGCTGCATGTCTCCGCCCACAGCCTCGGGGACCGGGTCCTGCGTGCAGTGCAGGCGGCCCATGGCGTCCTCCCGGCCCTGCAAGCCCTGCAGCTCCCGCCGCCTCCCCCAGCTTCCTCCTCTGCAGCTCCCCGCCTAGCTGCGCTTCCGCAGCTGCACTTTCGCCACGGGCCGCGCCGCCGCCGCCGCCGCGTTCCTCCCACCGCCGGCCAGAATGCGGGGCGGGGCGCCCTCGCGGACACGCGCGAACTCCAAGCTGTGGGGGCCGGGGGCGGGGCGGACACCTGGACACATGCAGGCCCCTGTGTGCGGGGCGGAGGGCGGGACGTCCTGGCGGAGCCGCGTACGAGCGCAGCTGCTGAGCCCAGTGAGTCCCTGGGGAGCACAGCGGTCAAAGGCCCGATTCCCTATAGGTTCTCCCGCCCGCTGACTCCTGGGCACAGCTTGGATTTTCTGAGCCTGTTTCACTATCCCTAAAATGACCCCTGGGTGGCTTAGCCTAAAACGTTTAGAACATAGCCTGACACACAGGAGATCCTCAATCAATGGCTAGCTGCTATTATTATCATCGTTATTACGCATTCAGCAGGTACCTATTGCATTCCTACGAGATACCTGGGGATAGAGAAGTGAACAACAGCAGGCCAGTGTCCCTGGGAGGGCTTACATCAGAGCGGGTTTGCATCAGCATCTCCTCGGGGGGCTTGCTCCAAGGCCCATTTCTGGGCCCTATTCTCAGAGTATCTGATTAGAAAGGCCTGGAGTGGAGCTCTGAGAATTTGTGTTTCCAACAACTTCCCAGGGACCACACTTTGAAAACCTCTGGAGTGGAGGAAAGTGACTCAAGGAAGTGCAAGTGCCAGGGAGGGCAGTGGTCAGGTCAATGAGGGAAGATTATTGGACAGTGATAATCACTGCAGCCCCTGAAACACTTTAACTGCCATGCTCTCTTGCCGAGGAACCCTTGAATTCCCCATGTAAGTATTACCCCGATTACCGCTGGACAGATGAGAAAACTGCAATCTAGAACCCAGTCCCCAAACCCAGAGCTTCTCCTGCCCCTGTTCCCTACCTGGAGAGTATGAAAAGGATGCCTTGAAACCTTAGGTCAGGGATTATGGGGAGGACTGGCTGGCTTTCCCAGACGGGTGCTCTTCTCTACTCTATCCTTCCATAAAATCCCTTCTGGAAGGGTATGAACAAAATGTCTTCTACCCAGAGGCCAAGCTCCTCCCTTTTAGTCATTATTTCATTCATGCATTCATTCAACAGATAATATTGAGTGCCTAGTGTCAGGCAGATGCCATGACAAGTGTTGGGACACCACAGTGACAAAACCAGATGCAGTGCCTGGCCTGGGAGAAGTGAGTTTAGTCAGGAAGGCAGACACATATGTGAAATTTATGTGTGAGTGAAATTAACTGATGCCAAGAAGTACAAAGGGCTTTGAGAATGTGTACAGGGCACTTGTCCAAGTCCAAGATACCTGGAAGAGAGTAAACCTTCGGGTTACTTATAGACATGCACTGAATTCAGACCCCCTGACTGACTCACCATCCAGGAATTTTTATTTTAAAATATTTCTTTTCTTTTTTTTTTTTAGATTTTATTGGGGACTTGGGGGAATGGAACAGACAAGTTGCTGTCCTTTTGTTCTTCAGTCTAGTTGTGAAGGACATCGCTTCACTGGCCCATGTTGGTGTTATCATTGTGCTCTTACCCGCTGATGCAGTCACTGCTAGCCACTGGACAGCCGCTGTTGGCGACTCACGGCAGCCCAGCTCCAGGTTGAGCTGTTGTTCACCATCTTAGCTAGAGGACACAGTGTCACTGGCCCTTTTGTGGGATCTGAACCGGGGCCCTGCTGCTCAGAGCTGGCGTCCCAAGCCAACTCCTATGCGCCACTCGGCCAGCCCTAAAATATTTTTAACCTTTAAAAAAAGATTCCTGTCAGGGCATTATATTTATTCATATCTTTAAGTGTTAAATCAAATTTGTTGAGGTATAATTTATATACAGTGAAATGCACCCATTTAAAGTATTCCTTGGGGGTGACCTGTTAGCTCAGTTGGTTAGAGCGTGGTGCTGAAAACACCAAGTTGCCCATTCAATCCCCGCATGGGCCACTGTGAGCTGCACCCTCCCTGAAAGAGTGAACTATGCCATTGTAGCATGAAAGCAATGTGTAACTAATGATCATGGCTGTTCCCCAATAAAATTTTTTAAAAAGGGGGAGTTATTTTTTTTTAAATGTTCCTTTAAATTATTTCAACTTTTTTTTTAACATCCTTGAGGAAACCACTGTGTTTCCTTTATTTCTTGTTCCTACTGTGACGGGTGCTGAGGCACTTAATAAATATTTGTGGAATTTAATTAGCCTATGTGACAGAAAATAAAAAAAGGAAAAGAAATTTGCTTGAAAGTGCAGCCCAACACTGCGGCGAGACAATAACTATTGTCTTCTAGTCTTTTTCCACAGGACAGGTCATTGGGGGTTCTTGATTTGTTTTGTTTTTACATATTTGGGGCTATCCTATGCTATTAAACTCTGATCCTCAAAGTGTGATCCTTGGACCAGCAGCAAGGAAATTACCTGGGAGCTTGTTACAAATGCAGACTTTCAGACCTACCCTAAACCTGCTGTTTCAGGATCCACGGTTTTTGTTTGTTTGTTTCTGTTTTTTTAGAATTTGCGTTTTTAACAAGATCTCCAGGTGATTCCTGGGCACGTTCAAGTTTGAGGTACAAATAATAACAACCATTTTTTTTTTTAGAAAGTCCTAACACACAATTTTTTTTTTAAAGATTTTTATTGGGTAATTGAGGGGATGGGAACAGTACTGGGGAATTAGGGGAAGGGGAACAGACAAGTTGCTGTCCTTTTGTTCTTCAATCTAGTTGTGGAGGACACTGCTTCACTGGCCCAAGTTGGCACCATCATTGCGCTCTTCCCTGGCTAGGCAGATCAGTCGCCGGCTTCTGGACGGCCGCTCACTGCGGCTGCTGGCCGCTCACGCTGGCTGCTGGCTGCTCACGCTGGCTGCTGGCTACACACGGTAGCCCATGGCAATCCACTGCCACAGGGACTGCAGCCTACGCCATCGCCAGCGACTCACAGCAGCCCAGCTCCAGGTTGAGCTGTTGTTCAGCATCTTAGCTGTAGAGGGCAGTGTCACTGGCCCTCATATGTGGGATCCGAACCGGGGCCCTCTGGCATCCCAAGCGAGTTCTTAACCATCGCGCCACTCGGCCGGCCCAATAACAACCATTTTTAAATGCCTATCATGTGCTGGGCTTTATTTTAAGTGCCCAAATACACACGTGTGTAATGTTAATATTTTGCATTGCCTACTTATTGTAGCTCATATTATGTCTATTTTAGTGTTTATCACATTATGTTATTGCTGTCCTTGACACATTTCTCCTCCACTTACTAATTGTGTTGTTTCTGGCAAGTGACTAACCATTCTGTGCCTCCATTTCTTTTTTCTATTGTAAAAATGGAGACAATAATAGAACCTACTTGAAAAGATGAAATGAAACATTGCTGTAAAACACTTAGCATAACAACTGGCCCATGGTAAGTGCTCAATAAATGCTTGTTATTACTCCATTTTTTTCAGTCTTATGAAAAGAACATGGTAAAAAGCATCCCTGTACATAATTCTTTTTCCACGTTTGATTATTTTTTTGGAGAAATTCCTAGGAGGGTCAAGGGATAGTATGTTCAGAGTTTCTGGGTTCAAAATTGCACCAGGATGGACAAACTTTCAAGGTAGGGAGAGGCTAGACCATAACTGATCTCTCTGAGAACACCCAGAAATAAGCATTTCAGCCTGTACAGGGACCTGGCAGCAGATTGACCCTGCTCTCCAACAACTTACATCCCCAAGTAGTATTCCAAGTACTCTAAAATAAATCCTTAAAATCTCAGACACCATTCTTGGCTTCAATTTAAAAAATGCTACAAAAACATCATCATAAAATGCAGCATAATATTCTACTGAACGAGAATATAATAATGCCCATATCTAATCTGCACGGTTGCCTATTTAGGCCTTACAAATTTTCAATTTTATTAAGAACTTGGCAGCTAACAAAGGCAATAGATAAAAAATTGTCTTTTCAATGTTCTCCTTTACAATTCACTCTTGGATGAAAGAAGCGGTGATTACTGTTAATGTGATAACTTTGTAGCAGGAAATGCAGACCTGGGGCCAGGCCTCCCTTCTAGAGACCCCCGCCCCCAGCAGCTCCCATTTCAGCCCTAATGAGGGACCTTACTCCCTTCATTCACTTTAAAATGTCCCTGTAGAAAGCAAAGGAGGCCCCCTCCCCCAACCCCCGCAAGTGAAAGGAGTTCATTAAGTCCTTTCTCAGGCACAAGGATTCCTGCTGGGAATTTCCCCAAGGGGCCAGGTTCTCTGTAGGAGAAAGGTTGACCCTTTATGCTCTGAAATGCCAAAGAGCATTTTTTTAAAAATTTAAACTTTTTATTTTGAGATAATTGTAGATTCCATTACAGTTGTAAGAAATCATACGGAGAGATCTCGGTACACTTTACTCAGTTTCTCTCGATGCACAGATCCCATCTTGCAAAGCGGTAGTCCAGTTTCTCAGCCAGGAGGTTGACATTGAAACAGCCGAGATACGGAAAGATCCTGTATGTTACCCAAGGGCATTTTAACAGAAGGGACAAACTACAGGTCCTCTTTTACCAAAATCTGGAAAAAAAAATACTATGGATATTTTCATGTTTCCATTTATTATCCTAATCATATATTCAATATTAGCTCCTTTATTATAAAAGCACATAACAAAAATGCAAAATGACAGTTGGCCTAGACTCTTCAAAACATCTGTCATAAAAGTCATCAACAAAAGAATGGAGAATTTTTACAGATTCAAATAAATTTTAAAAGACATGTTAACTAAATGCAATGTGTGATCCTGGATGGAGGTAAACAACTGCTATAAAAGATATTGGCACAATGATGTGAATATACTTTACTGAACTGTACATTTAGAAATGGTTGCGATGTAAATTTTATGTTATGTGGAAGGTTTTTTTTAACCACAGTGAAAAAAAAAATGGGACAATTGATGAAATTTGAACACAACTGTAGCTTAGTGAGGAATATTGTATCAATGTTCAACTCCTGAATTTGATAATTGTACTGGATATGTAAGAGAATGTCTCTGTTTTTAAGAAA